CTATACTGCTTTAGATCGAACCACACCCCGGTTCCATCCCCCAAGCCTCCGGGCTGTTGTTCCCCCAGAGAAGAGGGTGTGTTTGCAGGAGAGACCAGGCGAGGAGAGGCAGGGCCCGGGACAAAAGACGGTCCTCCGTCCAGCACTGTTCTGCATGGTAGCGGCTGTATTCTTCTCCCCTCTTTTTTTTGCCTTTTCTTTTCTTTGGGTTAGCTGCCTTTGTGGGGACGTGATGGAGGCCGGGGGGCAGATATGATGGATGGAACTGGGGGGTACGAACATGCTGGGGGGGCCACAGGGAAGACGGGGATGGAGGGGCCCAGTGTCGTGCTCCCTGTCTGAGAGGAACGTGCGAGGCATGGGGTGGCCCTGGGTGGTAGGCGTACTTGGGCCGGGGGGGGCTTATGGTTTTCTATGTCGTTGGAGTGTGGATGGAAACAGGGGGGGAGGGCACAAGCCTTGGTGAGAAGAAGTGTGTAAGGGACGCGAGGGCCCATGCCGTATATATAGTTGAGGAAGTACGTGAAGAACGATGTAGCTGCGGGTGGGGAATTGCTGGAGATGAAGGAGGATGTTGAGGAAAAAGAATCACTTTTGAGCATCGTGTGGGATCCAGCTCCCTGATGAATCTGCAAGAAAAGTCTTACACCAGCACATCTGTTCTCAAGCTGATAAACATTGGCCACCATTGTAAAAATTCAACAATGTTTATATGATGCACTTAAATGTCAAATATCTTCATGATCTATCAATTGCCATTACATTCGGATGATGAAAATAAAAGGAATCTATATTTTAATAGGAAAAGAGACGAGACTTGTGCTTTCCACTGAGTAACCTGTGTGTGCATATGTGCTTGTAGTGTGAATGTGTGTTTGTGTATGTGTGTGTGTGTGCACATATACTGGGTGCTGCTGTATGTGGAGCTCAGTTCTCTGGGGGTGAAAAGACAGATGAGGGCTCAGTGCTGGGATGAGGCTACAATATTTCATCATAGACAGTATAGAACCAGGGCTGGATAAATTGTTTGAAATAATCATCATATGGCTATCCTATGGCCAGCAACCTATAATACCACACACACGGTACACAATGTGCTCATCAATTCTGAAGCTTCCCTCTGTTTCTTGTGTAATCTACATAACATCTTCTTTATTTCATCACATCACAGGGATTACTAGTATTCCCAAGGGATCAACCTCCTCCTATAGCTTCCTTACGGCACCTTGCACTATGGAATTTCCTCTTGGCAAATCAATGACAGCCTGCTTCTCAGCTTGCTTCCCTCTCCTACTGTCCACCTTGCAATGTGGAATGCCCTAATCCATAGAAATACACACACACAAGTGCTTATAACCACAGGAGCACCTTTCACCAATTTGCATAAAAAAACAAACACCCATTCTACCACCTGACAGCATTCAAATTCAGAATTTCTTGTCATTTGCCGGATAATTGCAAAAGATAATTCAATGTCATCAGCTGTGATCAGCTGTTGTTGCTCATTTATCTTGTTGACCAATTATTTGTTTCCAAAGCTTGTTTGAAATGTTTCAGATCATTGTTGAGGCCATTGAATGGAGCTTTAAGACAAACAGTAAAAGTAGAAACCTCATACCACTCGCACTGTAGTCTATCAGATTAACTGCAGCTCTTTGTCGACTCATACAGACCACCTGCTGCATGACAAAGCGCCCCTACGCCACATATTCACTATCCTCTCACCAAGAAAGATAGAAAACCTCCTCCCGGTGAATCACAGACAGGAAAAAAACAAACAAAAAAAAAACAAACTAACAAAAAGGAAATCAGGGCAGACGCCAATCTTCCGCCCATCAGATACCAATCAAGGCCTGGCAACCTGCTGGCATCCCTCTGGACGACTGAGATCACTATCTGGCAACATGCTGGTTGTCCAGTAGCAGGCAGCCTGGTGGCTGTCACCCAGTGCCCAGAGAGAGACATCCTCTTAGGGCTGGGACAAAGGTGGCTGGTCCTCAGGGATTACCCATTAGCATGCTAGTCTGTGTGTTTAACACTGGCCTGAATGGAAAGGACAAGAGCCAGCACCCCGGCCTATTCTTAAGCAGGGAAGTGTTACTGTTTCAGCTGCTAATGCCGGCCTGACTTATGCATATATACGCATACATGCATACATATGAGAGGAATTTTTCTTACTATCGGTATGCTGACTGACTTAATGACAGCTCTGCTATTTGAGATTAAATTTGATGTTGTTAAATTGCATTGCATTGCAAAGTTTATACACGTAAAACTTGTTTATTCAATAACCAGTTAGTTTCTTTATCATTTATGAAAAAATCTAAGATTTTAAGGCCATAGCTCAACTTTATGGTTGGCTTTGAACTTATGCGTTGAGCCCTGCTCCTAGTTATCAGACTGTGACATGCACTGATTTGGGAACAAAAATACATATTGTTTGTTGTCAGAAGTGCAGAATCAGCATGATTAGAGCCTTTATGGCATGAAAGAATGGCTTGACCCTCGCTGACAAACAGGACGAATGCAGCGATCACAGTCTCCCTAATGTGTGAACAGGCACAAGAAATGGAAGTTGAAACCAGGTGGCAGTCGAAATTATTGCTGAGTTTCTCGGTCAGTGAAACAAGCGAATATCTGAATGGCGATTTAGCTATGTGTGTGTCGGGGTAACCACGCTCTTTCTTTTGCTGTGTGTACGTGTTAGCCTAATGATGTGTAAAGACGCCTGTATGGAAATGTGTATTTGTGATTGTTCTCAGTGATTGTGTTTTTGGGTGTATTTGTGTCGGTGATTGTGTGAAATGCTCCTCTTTCCGTGCTGCTGTGTGTGTGATTATGTGCTCAGACTTGCTGGCTGGTGGCTGATAATAACACAAGAGGCCGTGTGTTTGTGGATCTCTTAGCTGAGGAGATTCCCACCGTGCTCAGCGTGTCTGGGCTCTGTGTGTTTTTGGGGTTGCACGCGTGACTCCGCCAGCTGTTCTATTCTCCTGTTGGCCCCCTCAACCCTACCCAGCCCTCGTCCCTCGCCGACCCCTCCTTCCTTCAGAGGCCTGCTCTTCATCTGATAAGGGCCGCGCTGGCCAAACCCTCAGCGGAGCTCCTCAGAGCCCCTCAGAGCTGCTCCATGCTAACAATGCACCCGCCTTCCCCTCCACGCTCACACCATTTACATGTGAAAACACTGGGTCTTATCTCCAGTTCACTGGAGCTATGGCACAACAGCCAAGTGAGTGTGCGTGTTGGTATATGTGTGAGTGAAAGTGGCCTTGAGAGAGAGCTGCATGAGTAAAAGTGAAGTGAACAGTGGACCTCTTATGCAGCTAAATCTGTATTTATGTCCCTACTTCAGCTTTAGTTCTCTTCTCTTTTTCTGGTAAAGAAACATTATGAGAGACTACATGAGCAAATTCAATATTCAGTCACCTCAAGAGTCTCATTCAGCACTAGTTAGAATTAAAGGTCTTTTTTTATCAGTGGGATATTAGCCAGCTTTATCACACTTGCACTGTATCCAATAGCTAGCAGCTACGGTAATGCCAAATGAAAGACCCCCAAGAGAGAAAAACTAGTCTCTCTCCTCCATCACCTTGGAATATTGCCATGGAGTCTGTTAACAATAATCCTCATCTGCATGAACATTAACGTCACTGCTTTCCTCGCTACTACACCCAACACAACTACCGCTATTACCCCTCTCTCTTATTGTCATCTTTCACATCATGTTTACTGCTCTCTGCGTCAGTGCCCACTGAAGGTCCACTGGCTTAACGTTCATTTTGGCCTGGTCTCATCTCTTGTGGAGCATAACTGAAGGGAGAGCATCCTCTGGGCCAGAAAACACATGTAGAAATTCCCTTCTGCCAATTCACCAGCTGCCGGGCAGAGAGAGAGAGAGAGAGAGAGAGAGAGAGAGAGAGAGAGAGAGAGAGACAGGGACAGACCGAAAGAGAAGCGTGCAGGCTTTTAATTAAAGTCTGTGTGGTTAAGGGCTCGGGCTAAGCAAACATGGGCCTCCAGCATCAGAGTTTAAGATGAAGTAGAGGAGAGTGGGGTGATGACAGAAATGCTCCTAACGTTGGAGGATGGAGGAGGGGGCGGGGTGAAAATTACGGGATGTGTGAGGTTGAGAAGATGAAAGATGAGCCCGGGATAAAGGACTATTAGGAAGCGAGGGGCAGGTAGAGTGATGGGAAGGACAGGAGAGGGGATGGGTGTTGTGCTGTCAGAGATGGTATCACATGTTATCTGATGTATCATAATGTGATGCGGATATTGGGATGGGAGGGGTAAGATGAGATGCAGGGTTTCTTTTAGGGGAAGGGGGGACATTACAATTACAATAGGGGGCGACTAGTGAGATAGTACACAGTCAGTCATCTTTTCACAAAAATTGATGTCAGGGATGTAGATAGTTGCCATGAATCCAACATATATGCAGATATGAGATTGAATGTTTTTTTTTTACATCAAAATCAATATCAGTAACTATTTTTGACAAAACCAAAACTTGACATATACAATATAGCAGGACAGAAAAGAGGAGCTTCAGTTTAGCACACTAGATGATTCGGCTCTGAGCTTCGTCCATTATAGTGACATTGTGACATCTATTGGTGGAAATGGAGAACTGCAAGGCTCTGCCATAATATAACAGTAGTGTGTGGAGGGGAAATAGGGGTACTTTAGGAGACTCAAGAGGTTCCTAACTAAATGATAATTGCTTTACAGCCTCTTGCTCTTCACAATAAAAGCTGCATTTGGTTGATTCCATTCTCATGTATCAGACGTCTGTGAGTTGTTAACAGCTCCATCACAGAGACAGAGATTACCTAACTACAGTAAACCTCTCTCATGGTTTGGTTTACAGAACAGTTCAAGGCTTAAAAGGGTTAAATTAACCAATATTTCACAAAATACAAAGATTAGAAAAATGTCCAAAATATAAATATAAATTTGTGCCACAAAATTTTGATAACTTAACATTACATCTCCAGGAAGACTCATACACATCAGATCTGAGTCACAAATTTATATTACTTTGTACAGAGTACAGTGGATAAAAAGATAATGATGGGAAACATCAGGAAAAGAAAAAATGGAATTTGATCTTAAACTTTCCTTAAAATAAAACCAAGATATAAACAACAGAACATCAATTTTCTCCTGAGAAATGTTTTCCAGTTTTACAGCAAATAACATGAATTCTTTTTGACTCAATAAACCTTTGCACATTTTAATACAATAACGGTACAGACAGTTGTGACACATAATCATTCCTTTGGAGGCTAATATCCTTGGAGAAAAGGCCAATAATGATTATCTTTGGTTTGATTGGTTGTCTTGTGCCAGCATCATCACTGCTGGCTCTAGAGGAAAACTAAGAGGCAAAGCACAACTACGTTTTACTGTTACACATTCAGCTCTCACTTTAAACTCTAAGCACGTTTCTACTTTTAAATAGATTTCTTTACTTTCCTATCTCCTATGTACAGTGTCAAACAAACCACTTTGAAATGAGCAAAGACCAAAAGACAATCATACATTTATAACACAGATCCTTCAGTTATGGATTTCATCAGCTGTTGTTCAATGCTTCTGAGGATGATAATCCTTAATGAAGTGCAGCCAAAGTTAACAAATTATTCCATTAACACATCTCCAGCAGAATTTGAACAATCTGATGTGAAAGAAGATCATTTTATATGTTATATATGCTTTAAATAAGCTATTTGTGCCCAAAAACACATCACATATAAAGGCACTAAAGGCCAAACTGGCACAGAATAAGGCCTCAACAAAATCCTTTGTGTTTACTTCTTTTTGTCTTTACAAAAAAAACCAAAAACATTCTTGGTCTGTTATTCAGACAGAAATGTAATAAAACAATGTTATCTTTGCCAGCAGAGGTGTTTCTTTTGCTCAGAGGAATGATAGATGAAACTCACTTGGTAAAGACATATACCATATACTTATGTAATCTTTGCCAAGCATCATTTAATGAAATCTCAATGGTCCTTCTCACATTTTTAGCTGGAATTTAACCAAATGACAACAAGAAATACTGTGAAAATAATTTGTGAAAAACAGCACAAAAACCTCCACTGACTTTTAGAAATGTCTCTTGCTTTAAGTACCACCAAGTAAGACACAAAATGTGTTTTTTACAGGCCACATAATCAGTTCCCCCGTTCACATCAACAATGAGGAAACAGGTTTAAATGTTTGGGTACCTCAGACTGGGCTGCATGTGTTTCTGTTAAGTTCTTAAACGCAACACAAGTCTTACATTGTACTGTCTTCATTTTGAACGAATCTTAAAGTTCAGTGAGAGTAAGATCAGTGACAACAAGTAACAACATGTCATTGCTAAAATTCTCTTAGTACAGTTAATCATCACATGTACCACTGATTCTTAACAGTTTAGATTTTATCTAGTATTCAGGTACTTTACAATTTAAACACAATAAAAATCTTTTATAAACCGTACAATGGAAAACATTGTAGAGTAAAGTAGAGTGAGGAGTATTACAAAATGCTGCATCATTTTCATTCAATTCTCCAGGTGCTGCCACTCTAGCTTGATTATACTACAACAGAATGACCATTTCAGGTGCTGCCACATTTTGCTTTCATCATATATGATGTTAATGAGTGGCAGTTTACTCCTACTTCTTTGGACACACGGATTGGAGTCACTGTTACATACTCATACACAGCACCTCTTCAACGGGAACACTGAACTGATGACAGATGACTGAATATGTAACCGATCAAGGTGTAGTGCAGCCATGACCCCAGCAGGGGGAGCCAGCAAACAAGATCAGTGTAGCAGGGGGAAGCTGGTCTCAGTCCAGTGCTTCAGTAAGCCAATGTGTTGGAAGTGAGTTGAAGATGCTGTTCAGTCTCTCAGTCCCTGTTGAGTCTCCACAGCGCAGCAGGTCTTTGTTGTGGACTGTCCCGGTCTCACGCGACCCTGCAGCCTGGCCCTTCGGTCCTGCGGTCTCTTAAGTTCTCACTATTATCAGTCTAAAAAAGAGAGTGGCTACAGCTGGTCAGACTCTTCTCTGGAGCTGGAACTCGGCTGTGTGCCCGAGGCCACAGTTCGCGGTGTAGAGGGTGCAGTGGGACATGCTGGAGGGCGGCTTGAAGGGTCTTGCGGGCCCTCGTATTGAGGCAGCTCGCCCTCTGATGGAAGCTCCCCATCAGGGAGGTATGGAGGAGGAGGGAGATCAAACCAGGGAGGCCGACTGGGGACAAACAGAAGAAAGAAATAGAGGAACGATATGATGTCAGGTTCATGAGGTATTGCATAAGGACTGAACAATGACTATATAACAGCAAAGACTGAGGACGTACCCCCCCTTTCTTAGAAAATAATCTGATTATATAAGAGCCTGTCATCATTTAAGGACACCTGTGACCCAGTGCAATTCTCATTTTTGCTTATTTGATTAAGTTATCTTCATTTAACCTTTTTCAGTCATGATTTTTTTTCCATTTGACTTCTTTCCCACTATATTATGATTCACTTTGCTACTCATTTTGAGTAACTCTGAACATGACAAAAGCAAGCATAGTGATGTTTTAAATAGGAATATCTTGCTCAACATCAATATTACTTAGATATTTTAGCAAATACTATGTGTTTCTGTTTTTTTAGTAACTTATGATGAGCTTTTTAAACAGCAGCATTCTTGTTTGTTAAATAAATGACTATATGAGTAAATGAGTAACTAATAGATTAGAGGATTAATTGATTGTGTTTGTGCTTTCCCTGCTGATATTTCAAATAGCATTCTTTACTATGTATGAAAATTAAATGTATGAGACAAATTAGCCAATGAGCGAATGAAATTACACTTTTATTATCTTGTATTAATATACTAAATTAGCTTATATTTTCTCGAGTTGTTATTTGCAACTTTCAACACCATGGTTTCTGCATTTGGTTTAGTCCTGGTTCACAGTGCAAATCTTTATGGCTATAGACAAAAGATTATTAACTTCCATACAGCTGTTAGAATCATTATTCCTTTCACCTGGCATCAAGAACAGCTTGAGAGTATGACGGAGGTGAGTCCATGGAGAGTCCGGAGCGATACAGGGTCCCAGACAGCAGCTGCAGTGCCTGAGGAGTTGAGCTGTATTGGCCCGCTGTGGTGGGGGAGCCGGGGGAGAGACCTGGACCTCCGGGATGTACGTGGCCACGGTCCAAGATGACCAGACGGGACAGCAGCAGGGGCTGGTGGTGGTGGTGGTGATGATGTGAGCTCCCTCTTACGCCTCTGGGCAGCAGGACGCTCCGCTTCCTCTGGTGATGCAGCACCAAGGCCAGCAATGCCACCACCAGGACGAAGATGACGGCGCTGCCGATGACGGCGTACGTGATGCTGGGGTAGTAGCGCAGACGGTAGTCCAGTGTCACAAAGTCCTGTCCAGGAGCTTCTGTAGGAGAGAGGAAGGAGATGACGAGCAAATTGATGATGGGATGATGCCGGAGCTTGGGGAAAAGAGTCAGTAGTGTGGGAGACACAGAGGGGAATGGAGGAAGGAAGCATGGAGACGGGGTAAACAATTTAACGGAACAGGAGGTTGAGGAAACAGAAGGATGAGTTGTGGAGTTGCAGAGCCAAGGGAATGAAGACGGGAGTGAAGTGGACGGTTATGAATATCAAGCAGTAAATTGTTTTCAGGTTCATTTTGAAATGTGTTCTGTGTGATTCAGCAGAGGCAGCCTCTCTTGGAGATGACAGCGCAACATAATAAGCAAAACAGCAAACAGACTCTCCCCAAGAGCTCCAGCATCTTGTACAGAGCAGAGGCTACTTTTGAAAAGTAGGAACCCAATTTAAAAGTAGGGACCCCACTCTTTATTATGAATAAAGAGAAAGAACAGAGAGGCTAAATAATTCTTTGTGAGGGCAAAACAGCTTACAGCAGCTTTAGATAAAACACGACTTGAGTTGCTCAGCGTTGAAGATGAGAGAAGGCAGAGGAACACCAGGGGCCGTCACAGATTACCATGTTTGTCACAGGGAAAGGGGGAGTCTGCAAACTACTTAGTAGTCCGGGGAATGTTCACGATGAGAGCTGTGGCCAGCAGTAAGAAACGCACAGCAGCCAACTCGCTGGCCTGAAATGAGGAAAGGGACTAGTGTAATGCCAGAGAGCACTGCATCTTATTATTCCAGATGGGATGAGGGAATAGCGCTTAAACATTTCCGCTGACTGATATTACAGTGTGAGAATTTCAATCAGGCACTCGGGGTGACGCTCATGTAAATGGTGTTTCAGCTGCTTACCGGCAGACAGTACTGTTGCACTAAAGAGAGAGGGAGGGAGAGTGGAAGGAATCCTATTTATTACGGATCTGCAGAGAGGATGTGCTAATGAGGAATGGGTTACATAAAAGTATTTTACAGTTGCTGTTTCACTTCAAATTACACTAATGCCTCTGGGGCCTATAAACATCAAACCTCTGTGTGCCTCATAAAAGGTTCAAAACACTCACTGAGACACTTTCTATGTTCTGTGTTTGAGGTTTTTGTGTTGCTCCTCAACACACTGTGTGTATTAAAGGCTAATATAGTTAAAAGAACTCACATCTCTGTCCACTAGCCATCACGCTGACAGTTGAGGATATTGCACAGAAAGCTTGCCAGGAAATGACCATTACGAGATATCTCGGGGTTGAATCAATAGTCTGAAAATGCTTCCATCTGTAAGGATTAGATCCCCTGAAACTGCAAAGCAGGCAAGCCTTTTTGGAGCTTTTTGAAGTATTCCAAGCTTACATAGACTTACAGGCTCTTGGGGGATATTGTGTTTAGCACAGAGATTCCCTCCACATGTACAAGCTAGAGCTACAGGGCTGCAGAGAATCAAACCGAACGTGTGCAAAAAGTCAACCAGTGTGACCATGTTAAAGGGAGTTACAGGTCTGATCTACATTGTCAAATAAAATGCCTATGAGAGGACACCCTATCTTTTTAATTCAGATTAAACAAGTGAGATAAAACATGTTATATAGTGAGCTCTAGAGGTGATTGTAAGCATATCTTGTCACCGTCTGACAGACTGAAGCTAGCTGTTTTCCCCTGTTTCCAGTCTTTATGCTAAGCTAAGCTATCCAGCTGCTTCATAATTAATGGACAGACATGAGGGTGGTATCAGTCTTCTTATCTATCTCTCAGGAGTTAAGTGTATTTCCCCAAATATCAAACTGTTCCTTTAAGAAGAAGGTGCTGGGGGTTAGAGAGATTTTAAAAGCTCAGTATTTGTCAGAGCATTTGTGTGGACAAACCAGCAAGCTATCATTAGAGGAGGAGTTTTTTTCAGCATGTTCTCTCTTTCTTCCAGACACCATGCTGCATGTTTCCCCTGTCTACCTGACCTTGAAGGCCTTGAGGAGTCTTCAGCCGTGTGTGTATGTGTGTGCACACACTGTTGAATTCCCAGCTTGGCAAACAGCCTATTTATGAACCAATGTGTAGTCAGGGGCCCTATGCCTTAATTAAATCTAATCTAATTCAGATGCTCCACCCGCCCACCGCCCCAACCAGGCACCGGCCAATAAAACAAGCCCCCTCGACCCCTCCCTTGTGATTTAAAATTGGCCAGTCTTTCATGCTACCAATTAATTATGAACTGGACTGTCAGCAGAGAAAGGCCAAAACAAAGAAGAATTATTTCCATAATTACCTAGTAAAAAAAAGCACAAATAAAGAGATCCCACCGCTGCCACCCTATGCTGCCTATCAGGTTTCAGTGCAGGCCTCTGGGAGCAGAGAGTAACACACACAAAAGGAACTCATAATGCTGTAACATTAACAATGGCAGCCTACTCGGTACATTAGCAATAGAGGCCTGAAAGGCTGTTTCAAATCACACAAGAGATGAAAAGACCGGGAGAAAAAGAGAAAGAGACCGAATCACACACCAGCACCTTATGGACACATGCACTCAGGATAAAACTATTAGTTTTCTATCTGCGAATCTTGGTGTTAGCTTTTAAAAGTAAATTTCATCTCTGTAAAGAATGGATTCACACATCAAAGTCCTGGATAGCTAAGCCAAGACCAGATGTTGTGTTTAAGTAACATCAAAGGAAAAAGGGGGAAAAAAAGTCACACACTCCAAAGTCTGATGCAGTCTTTTTATTTCAAATTCTATAGATTAACATTTCTGCACACTTCAAGATCAAAGAGAGTAATCTAACTTAGGTATAGGACAGATGATTCAAATCAATGAACTTGAATGCACTTTCAAACTTTTAATTTCAAACTCTTTTTGAAGCAGATCAATGATTCCCAACCAGGGGTACTTAATACCCCATAGGGTACTTTTGCAGTCGACAGAGGACTGGAGGAACTCCAAAGTCGAAAAAGCTAGCTAAAAGTTTCAACAGATAAATAAACTGTTGAAATAGTTAAAAACTTAAAGTAACAGATAAATGATTAATAAAACAAGATCAAGGATAATGGTTGAATTAGCTAAGAGAGTAAATAAATGGCTGTAGTAGCTAATTGATAAACAGATGACATAGTTATTAGACAAATGGTTACAATAGTTAGCTAAAAGCTTCTTTCACTAATAATGCAAGCTTGACCATATTGACCTAACATTGACTATTCAGTTATATGCAAAAAGATAACAGTATTGATATTTTAAACAATATGGGCATGGTCTAGCTAAATGACAGTGGGCTACTTTTGATGGCCTGACTTTGCCTTGAGTTTGAACCAAGTTGTTGAGGTTTTGCTACACTGTTGACTTTGCTGCTGTGATTTTGAAAGGAGGGACAAACAAGGTTGTGAATTGAGTCTATAACAATGTTCATTATTATGTAACTTTTCTAAAATACTAGCAGCGTGTGAGAGTTTTGGCTTTTGTTCTGTGGGCGGATCAGTGAAAGATAAAGGGAAATTACCAGGAATTTCAAAACATCTTGACGGGGGAAACATTACCCCACCCAGTATTTCTGGGTGAAGCTGCTTGTTAAAAAGGGGTCTGCACATAGATGCACTTGTGTTCCACATTAAAAACCTAACTCTGCAGTTCTCCCAGGGACGCTGGCACCTCTAACCGCACCCCTTCTATACTGTCTTCATAAACCTGCCATATGTGGAGGCTTGGGGAGGGGGGCAAGGTGCAGCCTTTCAACTAGGCCACTTTAATTACATGAGAGTGCCTCCTCTCCACATCTCTCCATCTCATCCTCTCCCCTCCCCTCCCCTCTCCTCCCCTCTCGCCTCCGCTCCACCACGGCTGGTGCCTTTTGTTTCCCCCTCTTGTTTCTCCTCTAATATCTCCCTCTCCCTCCCCCTCGGCTTTGTGCTTTCCAGAGCTCTTCCCTCTCCTCTCCTCCCTCTATCCCACTCTGCTCCCCTCTTGTTGGTAATTTACTGACATGGAGATGACATGTACCATGTCTTTATGATATACAACAACTGCACTCAGCCTGGATTATGCACTCAATAGAATGCTTATCAATGGCAGAAAAAAACCTATTGAATCTCTATTCAATCTTTCTCCACTTTCTCTTACTTTCATTTTGCACAATCCCATCCTGTTCCCTCTTTCACTGCCTTTCTTTCTCCAATAGTCTACCACTTTTTTTGCATTTCATTATCTCAAGCCTGCATCAATCTTATTACCCCTGCATGAGAGGAGAGAATTATAGGGACGCAGAGAGGTCAGGCAGCACAACAGTGGACAGATGAGAGGAGTTGAAGAGGATAAAGCTAGAAACAGATGTGGATGTCTAAAGGGAGAGGGAGCAAGGAGATGAATATTATGTCTTTTCAACTTACATGTGCATACTCCTCAATCGCAGACTAAAGACATTTAACTTCACACACGCTGTTCCAAACTAGCCTTAAATCTATTAAAAGAGGCTGAGTCACCCAGACCCCCTGCTGTATGCCTTCAGTACCAGAAATTCACTCTTTCTGCCTACATCCCGTTTAGTGTTGCTCTCTTCTCTTCTTGTGCCATCTTTTGTAAACCTGGAAACAAATCCTCATTTTTTTTGACAGTTTCCTTTTTTCTTCTACTTCTGTGTGAAATAAAAGGAGCTAAACGTAGTTCTGTGGTTGTCAGGGTGTAGCGAGGTCATACCAGGCAAAAATGTAATTTTGAAACAGTGTGTGGCAACTACATGATGTAGTTTGTCCACTGTGGAACTGTGTACATGTCTTCATCTTTAAGTCACAGTGAAACAGAATAGAGCATCTTGGTTATGGTGTATGCCAATGTCAAAAAACAAATACATCATTATCTGTGTTTTTTGTTGTTGTTGATATTGTTATTCGCCTTTAAGATCCCTGGCAACTGTCTTAAAAATCCAAGTAGTATCTTACTCAAATTATTCAATTAAATAACTGTATCTATTTTTTTATTCCTCATGAGACTGTCCACATGATAATATCTAAATTACTGTCTCT